TCCTTTGATGATCGGATCGGGAACTCGATCTAGCTCTCGATCTGCATGGCATGGCCCACTTCCGTACTCACGATCGACCTCCTCCCTCAATCTCATCCTCGATCCTCCTCCTTGAAACGACTTGGGTTATTCGATCTTCTGGTCGATCTCGTCTAGACCGACCTGCCTTGCTTGATTTGCTACTCGATCTCGACTCCTTTGCTGAACGATTAAGTCTTCCAAGTGTCCACAAGCAGCCTATTGATCGTTTGCATGTACAAGAAGCCTCCACAACTCCAGTGTGTCCCGAACAACCTGATAATGATGCAAAAGATGCAAGAAACATGCAAAATGCGGATGCAAAGTGTTCTATGACCTAGAGTGCAACAAATGGTATAACTTAGCCTATAATGCAAGCTATATGCATGAAAACTACACTAAATGAATGCTAAATATGCTAAATATGTATGTATATCAAGCTCTCAGTTTCTTAAGCTCTTCTTGATCATTCAAACCTCTTATTTCCATTTGAGAAGCATAAAGAGTCTCATACTTCTGCACTAGCTGCTCTTTGAATCTTCCTGGAAAAGGGATAGTGGGTTGATAGGTAGGGAGATCAGCAGCTTGAGTTACCTTCTTGGCATCATAGGCTTCAACAAAGTCTTCCCCTGTAGCATCAACAACCTCATGTGGCGCCCACCACTCTTCTTCTTCCTTGTTGGTTCCTTCTTCAAGAGAGTTCTCCTCAATGGCATAAGCTTCAATAAGCTCCTCTCCCCCACTCTGAATGTCAAAGTCCTCAATTGATTAAGGAAATGAAGTCTTCAACGATAGCTTCTTCTTCAAGAGGAGTAAAGGCAACTGCAGACTCAATAGCTTGGCAATACTCATAAGTGGTCTCTAAGGTCTGTATCTTGGAATCCAAATCATCAAACTTGGTGTTGAGCTCAGCATGAACAGAGTCTAATTTTTTATGTAACTCAGCAAATCCCTGGTTCATCTCCAATGTTGAAAGGAGTTGTAAGTTGAGGAATTCAGTGAGTATACTCTTGATATCAGCTGCAGTAGAAGTAGAAGCATTGAGCTGAGCTTGAGGGAGAGCAGGCGTGGGTGCAATCTGTGGGTGGGTATTGTAGCTGCCTGCAAAGTAGTTCATAGGCAGAAGCTCTTGGTAGAAGTTGTTGCACCTTTCAGTTTCAAAACAGAGGATCTTCTCTACTTGTAGAGATGTACCTGAAATGAAAATACTTGGAAAGGAGTGAATAACCAAATAAAACTAAAAAGCTTGATCTTAAAGATTTTACAAACTCTAATGATTCAAACAGAAAATCCAAATGGCAACGGCGCCAAATTGATGCAAGAGTTTTTGGGCTCTTAATGTCAATCACCCAAGCTTGTACAAGTCAGTTGAAGTATATCATGGGGTTTTTATCAATCCAAATGGGTTTTAGTTGAAAGCAGAAGAGTTGAGTGTAAAAATCCTTAAGTCAAGCAAGAGAAAAGGGTTTTGGTTGCCTAAGCAACCAATCTAATATCCTAATATGATCAAGCAGCAAAGAGAGTAAAGATAAGAGCAAACTACGCAAAACTAAGCAAGCAAAACAGAGCAAAACAGAGCAAATCCGAAATTCAGTAAAGAGAAAAGCAATTTCCTAGATGTGGTTATTGACTTTGGGGAATTTATAGACTAACTAAAGCTGTTTCAGACAACATTGATCAAGCAAACAAGCTAGCAATGGTGATTCCTAGACATGGAGTTCACAAACAAGCAGGCTAGATCCGATCTCTTGTAAAATAGCCATTTTCTAAACATCTTAACAAGAACTAACTCTCATTAGTGCTAAAACATTAAGCAAGTATTAGATCACAACTCTATTCAAGTCAAAATGCTCCTCAAACAGTCAATCTCTTGAGCCAAGGCAAGCAATTCTCTATTAAACAAGATCAGCATTTCATCAAACACTTGTTGGGCATAAGAGAAAGCTAACAACCTAGATAAGTGTGATCAAGACAAATCTAGCTTTAAGAACAGAATAATAGAAAGGAACTCATAAACTGAAGCACTAAACAAGCCTTAATCAAGTCATAAATTTCCTTAATCTACCACATCTAGAAACTCTAAGCAAACTACTCACTAATACTCATGTTTAACACCAAATCACAAAGGAAAAGGATGTTAATCAGGATTAGAAGAGAGAATAAAGAATGATTAAAGGAAAATACTCAAATATATTAAATAATGCAAAGGATTTGTCTTACAAACTCAAAGAAAATACTTAAGAACAGTAAATTGACAAGACTTGTCAAAAATCTGGAAAAGAGACTATTTATAGCCTAAGGAAGGAAGCCCTAGAGTAATGGTAAAAGTGTAAATAAAACAGGCTCGGAAAGGGTTTACATCGATCAGTTACAACAGTCAGGGTTGATCGTTGTAGATCGTATCGGTCTGGGTAGTGATCATTGCAGTGACCGAAATTAACTAGATCAAGACAAATCTAGCTTTAAGAACAGAATAATAGAGAGGAACCCATAAACTGAAGCACTAAAGAAGCCTTAATCAAGTCCTAAATTCCCTTAATCTACCACATCTAGAAACTCTAAGCAAACTACTCACTAATACTCATGTTTAACACCAAATCACAAAGGAAAAGAATGTTAATCATGATTAGAAGAGAGAATAAAGAATGATTAAAGGCAAATACTCAAATATATTAAATAAAGCAAAGGATTTGTCTTACAAACTCAAAGAAAATACTTAAGAACAGTAAATTGACAAGACTTGTCGAAAATCCGGAAAAGAGGCTATTTATAGCCTAAGGAAGGAAGCCCTATAGTAATGGCAAAAGTGTAAATAAAACAGGCTCGGATAGGGTTTACATCGATCAGTTACAACAGTCAGGATTGATCGTTGTAAATCGTATCGGTCTGGGCAGTGATCATTGCAGTGACCGAAATTAACTCTGGGCGTTTGTATCGATCACTCTTGATCGATACATCTGATCGATGTGCTCGTATCGGTCACTTCTTGATCGATGCTCCTGACCAAAAATCTTGTATCGATCACACCCTTGATCGATGTCCTCCATGCTCTGACTAAAAAGCTCTGCAGAGATTGTCTGCTTTGATCCCTTTTGCTCCCTTTGGTCCAGCTAGCTTCCTATATCATCCTCAAACATCCTCCAAGCTCCTTTTAGCTCCATAAACACCTTAAAACATCCGAAATGCAAGAAAAATGCAAACTATATCCTAAATGCAACATAAGTCTAAAAGGAGAAGAAAATGGGACAAAAACTAAGGAAAACATACAAAAGAGAACCAAAACATGTACTAAATGTAGGCCTACATGGTGTAAATACAAGAGATATCACACAGAGGTACCTTCAGGAAATCGGAAATGAGCCAAGAGTGATCGACGCCTAGCCAGCCGGGCTTCAGTGTCTGAAGAAACAGAATCCTCGTCAACCATGCAGGCAAAGACTAAAGCGAGATCGAGAAATCGATTAGAAAGAAGAAACAATTTGAGCATGATGGAGGAACACTTAAAAAGAAAGAGTAGGAAAGTCAATCCCACACTCCACCTATTAATAGAACCGGTAGGAGATGAAGAGTCAATTGCAAGTCTTTAGCCAGTGGTGAAAAACGATAAAGTCCTAGGGCTGAGTTTGCAATTAAGTTTGTCTCGAGCCATGCACAAACACGGTTTAATGGAACGGTTGACGCAACCGTTCCTAACCTTGGGAAGGGAAGAAGCACTAGTTCACGAGAAGCAAGTGAAACAGTGCAGCATAACTTCCCACGCACCAGGCGAACGGAAATCCGCCACATGGATCGCACTCACAAAAAAAAAAAATTTCTAAGGCGACATGTGGCCCAATTTTACCACGAATAATCCTGATTTGACATGTGGCTATTGGGCATGTTGGTGGAAAACTTAAAAAGAAAGAGTAGGAAAGTCAATCCCACACTCCACCTATTAATAGAACCGGTAGGAGATGAAGAGTTAATTGCAAGTCTCTGGCCAGTGGTGAAAAACGATAAAGTCCTAGGGCTGAGTTTGCAATTAAGTTTGTCTCGAGCCATGCACAGACACGATTTAATGGAACGGTTGACGCAACCGTTCCTAACCTTGGGAAGGAAAGAAGCAGTAGTTCACGAGAAGCAAGGGAAACAATGCAGTGTAACTTCCCACGCACCAGGCGAACGGAAATCCGCCACATGGATCGCACTCACCAAAAAAATGATTTCTAAGGCGACATGTGGCCCAATATTACCACGAATAATACATGTGGCTATTGGACTTTGCTAGAGCACTAACCTTCTCCCACTAGGCCTACCACCAACCTCCTAACGGACTGTTCCCGGTCAGATGGCGTGCTTACCTAGTCAGGCATGCTGTATTTAGCTGCCTGCTCCCGCGGCGTGCTGCACGAATGAGACACGACGAGGGAGATGAGGTATAAAATAAGGCATAAGGCTAAAGGAAAAGGGAAGGCTGGATCAGAAGAAACAGAATCCTCGTTAACCATGCAGGCAAAGACTAAAGCGAGATCGAGAAATCGATTAGAAAGAAGAAAAAATTTGAGCATGATGGAGGAACACTTAAAAAAAAAGAGTAGGAAAGTCAATCCCACACTCTACCTATTAATAGAACCGGTAGGAGATGAAGAGTCAATTGCAAGTCTCTGGCTAGTGGTGAAAACGATAAAGTCCTATTTATAATTGTTTTACTAACACGAATTATATTGTTACTCACAAATATTATTAACATATACATTAAACCAATTGTATTAATTTTGTTTTAAATAATTTCAAATTTATGTTTAATAAAATAGGTTATAGATTCTTCATGGGGATATAACAAACACAGAATTAGTACCTCGTACATATTAAACTCACAAAACATTTACTTTAGACTCTCGCCAAACCATATACAAAATAGAAAATATAAAAAAATAAAAATATTGTGTAAAAAATAAAAATAATAAATGAAAATACAAGTCCTATGATCAGATATGATTAATTTACGAAGTTAGACCAGCAGTGTAGCTTATACCTGTTGCTGGCAACCACAAGTTTCCTTGTATGAACTGAGCAACCGTAAAATTGATAGCCTCGGTCGACATATTCAGAACATGGTATCCTGGCCATTTAACACGACGGTCAAGGCTAGCACCCAGTCCATTGTTCATATACTCGCCATAGTACAATGTGTCCAATGCAAAATCTCCGTTCCATTCGAGCCATCCTTCGGGTTTGAGTACATCACTCATGTAGTTTTGCATGAACACTGTTCTAGAATATAGTTTCCAAGGACGACCCAAATAAGTAGCGGTCGTATTTAAGTTTGGAAGTAAGTCAGCATCAGCCGTTATGTTGCTAAATTGGATCGTGAATCCGGTCGGCTGGTTTGGATCCTTCCGTCCTTGAGCCGTGATGCTGTTCTTCTGGTTTGGTAAACCTTGTTTGGCTTTGATTTGGCAGTCTTGGAATACGGCTGTGGCATCTCCGAATATGAAGTCTACGGTGCCTGTTATGATGCATTCTCTAAAGAATTGACGCATTGTGTGGGCGTAGAGAGTATCTTGGTAACCTCTCATAGCGCATCTATAGAAAACCCCGAGATCCGAGTCCAACCGAATTGCAACCGCCTGGTGTTTATCCGGCCCCACTCTGTTTTGAAATGTTATGTCTTGTGAGATAAATCCTCTTCCACTCACAGCTGCCAAATGGTTTTGGTAACAAGCTCAAACTCTTTATCAATAGTAAAGAAAAAAAGTTACAAGATGTTGTTGGAATTGTCCCACATCGGAAGTTTGGGAGATTTGTGGCCAATATAAATAGTATGAGGCAACCCTCCACTCTTGAGCTAGCTTTTGGGTGTGAGTTAGGCCCATTACTAATATGGTATCAGAGCCCAGGTTATACCCAACTGTCTTGATTGTGGCCTCCACTCGCGATTATACTCCACGCTTCAGACTTAGAATTCTGAGCGTGAGGGAGCGTGTTGGAATTGTCCCACATCGGAAGTTTGGCAGATTTGTGGCCAATATAAATAGTATGAGGCAACCCTCCAATCTTAAGCTAGCTTTTGGGTGTGAGTTAGGCCCATTACTAATAGATATTATACTATAAAATTTAAATACTTGGCAATCAAACAATATATTTGAAAATTAAAAAATTATACTTAGCAAACAACCGTGTTGAAAAATAATTTTTATATTTCTACTATTAGTAATCATTTGGATTTTGCTAAATCCGTACGTGATGGGATAATATATCTATTAGATTAATGTTTTGATAAATTAGGTGAATAAAAAATAATGTTTAGTTTGTTACTAACCAAAAGTAGCAGACCGAAAAGTGGTCCAACCATCGATGAAGCTTCGGTTACCGGTGATTACTGTGGCGTCAATGCCATCACCAACCATCATAATGTTCCATTTCTTCTTTTTAATCTCTACATTTTCCACATATACACCTCTTTTCACATGTATCTCATATCTTTTGGTACCATAGTCTGGTGCAGCCAACACCGCCTCGCTTATCGTGGTGAAGTTCCCCGTCCCGTCTGCTGCTACAACTGCATCGGCCACCATTGATAAGCCACCAGTCTGCAGCAACTTACAATCACCGGGTCCAACACATGAGGGAAATTTAGTGAAGCCCCTATGAGCGGTGGTTGTTTTGTGAGCTTCATTGGGCTTAGGCTTGGGCTTGGATTGAGAATGAACCATGGTTAGAAGATTTCGGACAGTTTTACCGACCTGGCTGAGACCACCGGCCACAACTTTTTTGATAATTCCATTAGTGCCCTCGAAGCCGTCGAGACATGTTTCCTGGTTGGAAAGGGCGGCGCTTATCCATGTCCTTAAATCCATAGCCACGTCCCCAGTACTATTCTCTTTACCTGACAGTGACATTATGATGTATTCAACTAGAATTTTTAATCGTCGGAGAATGTATCAGAAAAAGAATAAAGAAAAGATTGAGATTATACTGGAATTAAAAAAAAAAAAAACTTGAATGAAGAATTAATGATGAAAAAAAATAAAAAAAAAAGAATTGATGATTCTGTTAAATGCATGCCCCTGTTTTTTAATTTTTACTAGGTGATCGGTCTGTACCGTGTGCGGATTATAAAACATTTTATATTTTTAACATATGATTTATATTGTATATTGAAGAAGTTTTATTTGTACATGATATATATTTTTTCTTGATCTATTGTTAATTAAACCAAAATGGATTTTACCATACTTATCATAAGAGCGGATAGATGGTTGGCTCACACATTCGTGCATACCAACCACTTCACTGCTCTTAGGATATATAGAGATTCTTACAAAAATATAAATGGTCTAATAATTAAAATTAATATTGCACTGTAATCGAGGTTAACAAAATGCATGCACGACAAGTTGGCATGCGACTATGACTTTTGCATAATTAATATTTATATTCACATGTATATTTGTGGAAAAATCAAAGTATGATTTTTATGTATTAAAAGAGAATAACAAAGTATGTGTTTTGTAATATATATATTTATAATATGTTATAATTGAATTTTAAAAAGAAATAAAGATTTATATATATATATATACATGTAAGTATGAACTATAAATAAGTGAATTATAATATTTAGATGTTGGTTAGTTTTTCTGATATTTTACGCAAACATTATGTTTTTACCCGATGCAGTTTTCGGCATTTAACTACAATCACGAAAATCGTTTCTATCGTTTAGTATTTAATAAAGATTTCTTATTTTCAGCATTTTATGATATATGGTTTCAAATTAAAAATAGTAACAAAATTTACTAAAAAACTCTAAAAATAATAAAATATAAGATTTGGCTTTACCATGAAGATAAGTATAGTACATTGGGTAATTTATTAGTAATTTTCCTTTTCAATAAAAATTATAATAAACATTTGTTATAAAATTTGTGAAATCATATTTTATAAAATTATCTGGTAGCTCTCCGCTCATCTCTTCGTCCAATATTAGGTGTTATAGTAGAATTTTTTTATGCATGATTTGCACGCATGTGTTTATTATAAATTTTGGTATGCACATTTGTTCATTAAAAATAACACGTCTTTTTATGATTTTTTAAATGACTTTGTCAAACAAACCGCGAAGTTCTAACAAAAAATCAACACTGTAAAGATTTATTTGTATTTTTACTTCTTATTTATATTTGATTCATCTTATTATCATTTATTCGATTATTTTTCATTTTATTTCTAATCCTAAATTCCCGATATACAATGAAAATGTGTATATATATATGAATATGATATAATTTTTTTTTTTTGTAAAATATGATAAAAGATAAGATGAGATGGTAACAAAACTATGTAAATTTCAAAAAACAACAGTACTAAAAATTTTAAAATTATATAAAAATATATGGTCATCTTAATACTATAAAATAGTAATGAATATACTTTATTCATATGAATATAATTATATAAAAATGGTTCAAAAAGACATATTATTTTAATTTATGTTATTTTTTAAACTTTCAATAAAAGTTAATAATAATTTTATTATTTTTAACTATTTTTATTCTTTAAATTATTTTTATCATGATTGTATTTTACTTTTTTATTCTACTATTTAATAATGCATCTAATCAAAACCTTTTTAGATGTTATTATTAGAAATTTTCATAAATTAATAACTTTTCAAAATATAAATATATCATACTTTAAAGATTATTAATATATAGAGTCTTTGCTAATCTAATATTATTATTTTCTTTTTTATATGAAATTATAATATATATGTATATATGGATATATTGTTGTAAATTTTTTATAGTAATACTTTATGTAATTATGATTATATGTAAAAAAACTTAATCATAATAATTATAATTTTTTGTTAATTTTAATTTATTGATAATTTAGTATATATATATATGTTTAATGTTAAATTTCTATAATTTTAAGTCAGCCTATCAAAACATTTCGTTTATTTTATAAAATTTGACATATCACATTTACATGTCATCATTAAAATACACTAACTTTGATTGTAAATATGACACATCAGCATTTTTTATTAATTGACTTAAATCGTATAATATATAAAAGTTGATGGCATAGTGCATTGAGAGCGTCCACATGGGATTAAAAAACTCGATCTAATTGGTCAACATCATTATTGATTAAATAAAAAAATGTTAGGTATGATTGGACCAAAAAACATGATTTAATTGGTCCACATCAGCTTTTAAATCAATCCAAAAATTGTTAAGTATAATTAAAACATTAAAAATTAATTTAACAAATTATTTCCATCAAAAAAAGTAAATTCAATCTGATTGATCCAAATCAACATATTTATTAAATCAGAAAATGTTAATATGGTTTAAAAATTTAAAATTTAAATAAAAATTAACAATTAACAATACATGTATAAAAAAGTAACCATTATCAATTATCACTTTATAAAAATCTACAACAACTCGATTTAACAATTAAAACAATGAAAACTGAGTAAAAATATAACATAAAACTCTTGGAATGCATGATGGAGAAGGAAAAAATAGTTTTACATGATCATTACAGCTTCTTAACAAAATTAAACGTGAATCAACATGAATCATGGATTATATATACAGAGGTACACAACATCAAATAGACTTTCAATAAAAAACTAAATATTTGAACACATAAACCTTCAAAAAAAAAAGAACTATAGAAATTTTATGAAAACAGAAAATAATATCAAAATTTTAGCAAGATTATATTTCTCTAAATCAAATGTATATGTACGTCAAAGTTGGAGAATTCGATAGGTGTCATTGTTATTATTTTACCTAATAGTTTTTTAAAATTTATAAATAAAAATAGGATAAATTACACGTTATATATTAAATTCTCTTATGTAAATGAAAATTTCAAATATATATAATTTTTAATGATTTTAAAAATAGTAGCTAAAAAATAAACCAAAATATTAATACAGACTTGCACGTAGCGCGAGTTATATACTTAATAATATGTAGAAGATGGCACCATCAAATTAAACATTTTTAATGTCTATCGTACAATTTATATATTAGAAAAAAATCTAAATTTGTAACTGAAATCGAAGAAACAAACAAAAGAATAATTGAAGTGTTGAGTATAGTAAGTGCAACGAGCTAGACCATTAAATAACAAGAAATCAAAGAAACAGAAAAACTAGCAAGAATCATTTGAAAAATAACGAAATCTTACTTTTTGATATATTGTGTAGTCTTTTGCTTTTCGTAAAATTCATATCAATTGAAAAACATATCATATGTGGGTTGGCCTAATAAACTATATTTTAGAAACGACAACGTAATTAATTACCGACGTTGCTGCTATATTCATTATTCATATAATATCCAAGATCCACATAATTGCAAGTTTTTAGCAAAATGTTCAATTCACACACCGAAGATCAACCACCGACGGTATAATATTCCAAATCACTTTTTCTTTAAAAGTTAACAAATATAAGAAAACGTAAAGCAACAGAAAAAGGAATAAATGTATAAATTGCATGACCACGTGAAGAACTGAAACCTACTTGGTGGGTTTTGTAACTTTGAATTAAATTAAGTTGGTAATCTAGTTGAAACTGTGTATTCCTTTATAATATATTACTTTAGTATTTTAGACTGAATTAGAGATTCATATTTGTTTATTTTTTTGGGCGAATAGAGATTCATGTTTTAAAATACGATTTTTTTGAATGAAAAAAAAAAGAAGTGCAAGCGTTAAACTTGATACCGTTGGGGTTCTGAGAGGCAGAGATTGTGACACCCGACTCCGGTCAATAAAACCGAACCGGCAATGTCAAGATAACCGTCTGTGCCATAAGCCAAACGCATTATCCACTTTACAAGTTTTAGGCGATCACACAATCACAGAAGAGATCCAAACAGCAATCAAACAAGCAGAGTGTTTCAAGCACAAGTAAATGTTTCTTTTAAGTCTCCTGCAACTTCAGTTTCAATACCCTAAACACATCTAGGTGATTCACAGAGCAATCAACAACCTAATATGACCTAGCTGGGACTCAGTTCTAAAGCAGAAAGTAGGTTATGCTTGGTTTAACCCCAAACTATGCATTCAGGAAAGCAGAGTTCACGATTTTCAAGCACAGATTCATCCTCACCTTGGCCTAGGTGGCGAAGGAGGTGGCAAGGGGAGGTAAGGAGAAGAAAAGGAGGCGAGATGCTCCACGGCGGCTAACCACGCAGGGTTGATCGATCTCCGGGGTGATGCTGCGGCGGCGTATGGCTCCGGGAGGACTCCGGCTCCTCATCAACGTGGAACACCAGGGCAGGGCGGCTGGAAGGGGCGGCTACGGGTCCATCCCAAAGGTAGTGGACTCGCGGCTGCTCCACCGCACCGGTGGACGATGATGGCTGCTCCGGGGAGCGGCTAGGGCGGTCACCAGAAGGCGGGGATGACGAACGGCGTGACATGGTGAAGAGAGAGAGGATGCGGTGATGAGAGAGAAAGAAAGAGGAGAGAGAGACGGCGGAGAGAGAGTACTACGGCGCCAGAAAAGAGAGAGAAGAGAGTTCTAGGGTTTCTCTGTTCTCTGGAAGGTTTAGAATGAAGAAAAAGAATGAGAAGAGCTCTCTATTTATACCCAATGGGAGACTTGGGTAAAAAGTAAAGATAACCACGAAAAAGGAAAAGATAATTATGAATAAGAATATTCACAATTCATTTAGGAAAAGGTTCATTAATATCACATTAAAAATGTAATATTTATCTAAACCAAGAATTAATTATCTCTCGAAGGAAAAAGGAAATATCGAGAAATAGGAAATGGGTTTAAACCGTCTTAGTCGGGATTGAATTTTCCAAACGGGTCTGGTTTGTAAAACCGGGTCGTTATAATTCTCCCTCCCTTAACGAG